GCGTCTGAGGAAGCAGAAGGAGGAGGAGGAGGAAGAAGCGCTACTTTTCCTCCTCCTCGGCATCCCTCGGCTCTAGTCCGGCTCGTGCAGCCTTCCGCTTCCGCGGCACACGACGCTCCGTATATGCACGACCTTTTTCACTCTCCGCGCTCTCAGACACTCGCCACCTCGCGCGCGCATCGCTTCGAGGAGCCGCGGCCTTGAGCTCCTTACTTTTCGTCGCCCCTTGCGATTCGTGGGTTCTGGCAAATATTAATTTTCATCACATTTTACCCACCCAGCTAGTGCAGTAGATGCTGTTTTGAGGGGTGATTTTTTTTTTTTTTTTTTTCCTTTTTTCTGTGTCAATCGAGTGCTGAACTTTACGAAGCTCGGGGTGAAAAAATCGAGCATTGGAAACAAGTGCCGAGTGCCAAGTACACAAGGATATGAAAGGTCACAGGAGGCTCGACACTTAGGGTGACTTTACAGACAAAGAGGAGATGGACCTTCGAATCGTAAGTCTATTTTTTTTTTTTTTTTTTTATTAAAATTGCACTTTTACAAATCTAATGATTTTTTTTTGCTTAATTATACACGCTTTTTGCAAAATATCATTTACAGAGGATTGTTTGAACAAATGGCCATATTTACGCTAATGATCGTATGACAATTTTTTCAATAAGTTATTTGATGGACCTAAAAAAATAGCACTTCACCAATTGCCAAAAATTTTTATTTGACGGGGTCAAGTTTAGGCCATGTGTGGGTATTATGCGTCGAATCATTAGATACGGGGATGGCAAAGTCCACAGTCTTATCGCTTGTACCACTGAAGCAGCCAGTAGTATCGGCAAGATTAATAGTATGGGACCTCCCTCGCAAAACCGGATGATCAAAAAGCATTAACCGGTAAATGAAGCATCATTGGAAACTTGGCATTAAATCATCGGGAGTGAAACTACGAAAGGAGCCGCGTAAGCGATAAAAACGCACTCTACGGAATCGAAGCGCATAATAAATCAATAACAAATCGACGGGTAAATTCGCGGCATTAAAACATTAGCGTTGGATATCAGGACGCTTTCCCCGCTCGAGGAAAGACAAAAACACGAGTATATTATATATGTGAGCCAACAACGTTGCAACGGCGCGTCTTATGAATATCACTTTCGTACGTATACATACACATACATGGTATTAGACTCTCAACCGCTTAAGCTCCATTTTCCATATAGATCGGTATCTCCCGTATATACCCCAATGGATATTTATAAAACCGGTATGTATGCATGTATGTGGATTCTTCTGCCGACGTCAGTGGCTGAGCTCCGGGAGCCTTCCGTACGGGATAATTTATCGAAACGAAATTACCCGATCTAATGTAGATCATTTCGTTTCACTTGCTCCGCCGTACATTTCGTTAATTACAACTGGAACGCGCGCCGATTTTCACTAGCTCGGTTGACTTCGTTACACTTATCGATAATTCCGAGTACCCGTACAGTAGTTGGCCGATATCGCCGGCTTTTAGGAAAGCGCCAGCTTCATTTTCCAGTAGCCAAATGCTCTGCTTACCGATATCACCAGCCGGGAATTAATGACCATCGTCTCGCGCTTTAGAAATTTTCTCGATCAACAATAAAAAAAAAAAAAAAAAAAAATCAACAGTGTGTATACTCGTTGTTTTCGTCACCTCGAGAAAATTAACAAGTCCACTCCCAAATTCCAATTGCGGTACATACTTCCTCCCCCTACACTCCGAGTATACATGGGTGCACAGCCCGTCCACACTCGAGAATGACAAAACAATCGGCTCGTACTTACGACGACTTTCTCCCGATGTTTAACCCAAAGCCGGCTCGGTGCGATACACGTGCCCAAAAGACTCCTCTTGTCTTTCCAACCATATACTTATTTTGCCAGAGAAAGAGATAAGCCGAGATCGGTATATATACAAATCCGCCGATTCCGGAGCATCGCTTCCTTTACCGATCTCGGGGCAAAAAGGGAAAAAAACACGACCAACAGAGGCGGACAAGAAACAGACGAGTTGCACCAAACAAGTGACTGCGCGGGTGTGTGTATGTATACGTATACTATAGGATCCAACCGATTAATGTATACCGCCCAGTGAATAAAGCACTCGATGCAAAGTGCACGGGGGTATGCACACACAAACGCGGGGGTACACATTATCGCGCTCGCTTTCTAGTACAGCCATGGCTTCTCTTCTTCTTTTTTTATTTTTTTTTTTTTTTTGTTTTTTTTTTTTGTTTCGTGCGCTACACGGTGGGTGCAATCGGCAATTTCAATCTCCGCGGCATTTCTCACGCGCGCGTGGCGTATAATCGGCCGCCGCCGACGAGAGGGAGAGCACAACAGTGTACATGGAGAAAAGGGCGCGCGCGCCGCGAAAGAGATCTTCTGCCTCTCCGTGGCCATGCATACTTACGCCGATGGTACAAGCGAGAGTTGTATGGTTTACTTTTATATATATATATATATATATATATATATATTATGTACACACGTATAGAGGAGAGCTGGGTCGGATAACGGTTCGCGCGCGTCCTGGTGTGCCACGGCGTTTGTAGGCACATAGACAAGTGTGTGTGCTCGCATATGTTGTATATAGATGTACAAAGGGTACAAGAGCGATGCGCTCCAACTTTGTCTTCTTATTCTCGTTTTTCATTCGATTGTTGCTCTCTAAGCTTTACTACTTACTATGGGGTCGTGTATACAGAGTGAGAAGGATACAGATGGGGCATAGGAGGTACAGGGTTGGGGGACAAGGACGAGACAAAGAACATATTGTGGGAGTATACAACGGGAGCCGATCCGGTTTGTATGTATGTGTGTATACGTTTGTACTTACACGGTCCCTTTGGGGAGATGATTATACTTGTGCAGCTATACCGAATAGCGCGAATTGAATTCATATCGAAGGTATAAGTATGTAAACATATAGGTGTACGTATGGGTTTCGGACGGCTTACTTTGAAAGAGAGAGTGACGGTGCAGGAAATTCAAATGTGTATTACAGGCTTGGCTGCGGTGTCGGTTAAACGTGTTTACTGGAAGGACTTTTTTTTTTTTTTTTTTTTTACTTCAATCTTCCTTTTTTTCCGGGCGTGGTGTCGATCTGATGATTTTTTAGAGTTTGCACGGGAATTGATAGACGCACGTGCGGAGCTAACGAGCACATATTGGCAAAGTTCCTTTTTTTTTTTAATAGAAAAAGACCGAGTGGAGCATTTGTGGTGTGGTTGTTTTACTCACGGGGTAAGTTTTCCCGTAGAGTGAATTGGAGCGAGAGGACGGCGATAGCAGGCTTTGGTTGGAGGGATATGTGCAGATCTCGTCTGTACAAAGTGAAAACCAAAGGATCACATTGATTTATGTTATTTAAAATATTTTCATGGTAAGGGTATTAACGTTAATGTATGTGGAGGGTAAACGAGTTCAAGGGGGACAATGTGATGAGCACAATTTTATCTCATACCTATGAATAAACTCTTTTTCATTTGTCATGAGTAGGTACCACAAAGAGCCTCTGTTCGTTTCATTACTGAGGACAATAGCTATACCTCGAACGATTCGAGTACTGTATGTGTGATTACCTATACCGCATAGATAAAAGAAATTAGTGTACCCTTGGCCACGTGTCATAAAAAATGATCTCGTTTGTACCGATTTATAAAGTGAGTTGGTGAAATCGCATACAACAAAAACATTAGAAAATTTTATTTTTTATTACAATCATGTGAGGTAAACTTTATTTCATGAATTGGATGTTAAGTTAAGATCAATATTCCTTCATTATATGATTCAAATAGTTGTATAAGTCGCAAAACTATCTTAAAGCGTGTAAAAATAAAACGAAAATCGACTAACAAAAAAAAAAGCAACTAAAAATATTCCAATCGGTTATTACTCTCTACTACAATTTTTTTCGAAAGCCCGACCGATAAAATCATCTGGCATCTTATCACCGAGTATTAATTAAAAAAACAAAAACCATCGATCGCGTTTACAGCGAAACTTTCATTTTCCACCCAAAAAAAGCCTCTATTCGTTCTCACACTCCAAAGCTTCCGTTAAAAGTAAGTATATCTGAAATGGCAACTCGCACCTAGACACGTGATAGCACGAATTTCATAATTACTCCCAAGAGCGCGTGAAACGAGCGACTCCTCTTGTCGCGCGAGAGCAAATTGAAGCGCATCGGCCCACTTACCTACATTACATAAAAGAGCGACTCTTCGTCAGCGGAGAGATGCGCACATCTCTCTCTCCCGCGTATGACACGCACGCACTCGGCAGTTGTTATTATATTATACGTATATAATAGAAGCGCGAGCAGAGCATTGAAACGCGCTATTCCCCAGAGTTTAGCAACTCTCCCGGCGTATACGGAGAGAGTCGTCGCTTCTCCGGCAAACAAGAGCGTAACACTTTATATTATATTATACGTCCTACACACCGCGAAGCGCGTATTATGCGTATACCTGTATACCATGTGTACGCGGGCGCTCGTAACTTGGGGCTCACGCGTGCATACGGGTATAGAGGGGGAAAAAAAAACGAGTGAACCGCAGAAAGGAAAGAATTATGGTTTTTTGTTTGTTTGCTCTTTGAGGAGTTGCTCACACATACGAAATAAAAAACGCTTCCTACTGCGGTTTTAATTGAATTAATCTCGCGCCCGGGGGTTTTTATTAGGTTGACACGGGTTATTTCATTACGGCGAATAGCCAAGGGGAGAAACGCCGCGAGATTTTATTTTTAGCGCAAGGGCCGCTCGAATCGTTTATTTATTACGACCGACGTAAACCTACTTTGTTCTACACTTCATTGACGAACGTAGGGTACCTGCACGTGCATGGGCTAGAATTTTAGTTTGTTTTCGCGTCGAAGGATCCTTGTGGATGGATTGCACCGTAGCAGTTTCATGTGATGGCAGTTTTATTGACGCTCCGAGATTTCCTTTGGATGATGAGTTTCAAACTTTAACTATGGCGTTCTTTCAGGTTATTTCAGTACCTATACGATTTTCATGCTTACATCGATTTTTTAGATGATTTTTCCACGCAAAAAGCCGTACTCATGTATCATGGTATCGAGCAAAAATCTTTTTCCAGTGGCAAACAGTAGCATGTACCTGTAAGAAGTAAAGTAGTTCAACAAATTTATTTAAATAAACAACTTTTTTTTTGGAATGTAACGCGTACTTTCGGTTGGAGAACTCACTCCTCAGTATTGTGCCACCAGCGGTGAAGATAGATGATTTTTTTTTTTAAGCATCCCGAATAACGTAAATTTTATATTTTGAAAGGGAAAAATGACATCGCAAAAAATATTGCAAAATCAATCAAGTTATATTTGGGCGCTGTAATACTCTATAACGACGCGTGTGCCTCGAGCTCGTTAGCCGAGTCGACAAATTAGGTGGTGTATGCTTGAGAAGAAAAACGCATTCCAGCAAGGTCGAGACCCGATATGTACTAGGCAACATCTTTGTAACTACCCCTTTGACTGTTGACATAAATGAAACGAGGCGACTCACTTGTATCAAAATCATTCGGTATACTTGGGAAGTGAAAACATTTTTTTTTCTTTTCACGGTAAAACCAATAAAGTGACAGGTTCATGAAACCATTAAAAACCAAAAACCAAGTGAAAAACCCAAATTCTCGTCAATCCCAGGGTCTGTCGCTGCTGCTCCTGCTAGCGTACGCGAGCAGCGGCCTGTGCAAAACCTCCAGAGAGCTACGTCCACCGCACCACCGCCACCAGCCGCATCACCGTCGCAGCAGCACCGAACACCACCACCACCACCACGACCATCACCCGCTACAGCGGCAAGCTCGCGCCCTCAGCGAGTTTCTCGTGCCACCACCGGCACCGGTGAACTACCGGGGACCCCGAGGCCCACCCCACCTCCCGTCCGAGGCTCAAGGTAAACACGCGAGGAACGGAAGGTACATCAACCAACAGGCCGGACCGAACAGCGTGCCTGGTTACTTTTCGAAGCTCGCCAACTGGCTGAACCCCTTCGAGTCCGGGGTGCTGGACGCTCCCTTGATTCACCAGCAGCAGTTACCCCAGTACGCGCCCCAACAACCGTAAGTATACGAGTTGCTGTACATACATACAACGTACATGTATTATAATACGTTGGAGCTTTCGCTCACGGGGAGAGCCACTAACTACGAGCGCGGTTCAAGGGTTATTAAGTGGATTCGCGCGTGAGTGCGGACATATTGTATGTACGTATGGAAAGTAATCGATTACCATCGTCGGGGATAAGATGATGCGCGATGGCTGATTTGTGAGTTGTACAACGACTGTCGCTCTCGTTTTTGGATTAATGGACTGTACGGCTACTGGTACCGTGTATACATATATATGGCCACGTGGTGAGATGATTTGTCCCCTTTTTGCGTGCAAGATTGATTTTTCATTGAATTTACTGGAACATTAATTTCGTGATTTGGTGTTTTTTTTTTTTTTTTTTTTAAGTGGGGCAAAAAGGAGTCGCCTTTTGAATACTCATAGCAATCCTAACGTTATTACTCTAATGGAGAAAACTATTGTATTTTTCCGATTAAAAGTTGGCAAATGTTGTGAAAATGCTTTTTACATAATAAATGTAACTACAATCGTGTTTTGTTGTGATGCGTGTATATATGACGTTCATACGAAACGTCGACGGTAATGTACATAATTTGATTCTTCAAATAAAAAATGTTGAATCGCGTTTTATCTCTGTTGATTTATGAATGAAGCGGAATAAATCATAAGGAAGATACATCCATGCAAAAATACGCAGCAGGTCTTTTTTTTTTTATCATAAAGCAAACACGAAATTATTTTGCGTTGAATCGTGGATCGTGTTGTGCTTAATACGTAATTCTCTCATTTTAATATTACGTAGAAATTTCCATTCGAATCACCAATAATGTAGTTTCGTTCAAAGAAGATGATATTTAAAAAAACACACATTTGTGACCTCATGATTTAATTGAAATAGTATTAGTTGTTTGGGCGACCCACACAGGCCAAGTAAGGGAAAAAGAAATACGTTGAATGTTTGTCATATTCAATACGTTCGAATGGATTCACAGAATTAATAAAAGATCGACAGATTAATGCACGTATTCGCAACTACAATGAAATTCATCGCCCATTGTTTGGAACACAATTATATTTGTCAACATGAACGTGAAAAAATGTTTTTGAAAAAGATTCTTTCTTGCCTCAAAAACAAAGCTGAGTTTTCTCACGAGCAGTAAGGCTCGTTCCCTCGTAAACTTTGCAATAGATACCCTCCGCAACTCGAATGATGGATAATTTATGTAAAAACTTTTCTTGTTAACGGAAAAAAAAAAAACAGCTACACGAGCGCCACAGCCCCGCAACTCCACTACCACCAGCCTCCTCCAGCTCCACCGCTGGCATCGCCGAGTCAACCGGTCTCTGGATACCCAAGTCTCGCCTCGTGGATGAGTGGCAAGTCGTGCAACCCCTGCAACGACGTACCCTGGACCCCGATTCTACACCAGTACGCCCCGAACGCGGGAAGCAACGCCTACCTGCCCCCACCGGCACCCACCCTACGGGACCCCACCCAAACGCCCGATTACCCTCACCAGCCGGCTCCAGGATACCCAGGAATCTCTCCTCCCCTCTACGACGCCAAACCCTTCGACGACACGGCACCCAGCTACCACCTGTCCAACTCGCCCCAAGTCTACGAGACCTCGTCCCCGTCACCGGTCTACAACCACCAAGCATCCGCGGAGCTGGACAGCCACCACTACGACGACCACCAGAGCACGGACTTTGACGGCAGCCAGCAGCAACCCTCGAGCTTCGACTACCACTCGAGCTACGACGTCACCGCCCAGCGCTCCTCCCCCAACCCGGACCACCACCACCAGGAGCCCGACCACGCGGAATCGCGTCCCGTGCACGTCAACAGTCCCACTAACTCCGAGGCCGGCACGTCGACAACTACCCACGACCTTTTGGCCACAGCCACGACACCGGGCACACCGAGGAGACAGCCGAGCTACCAGAACGTGTACTTCCAGCGCTCGCCCCTCATCGACCTGAGCGTGGCTGGCGAATCGACCACCACCACCACCACGGGCCCCAGTGCGGTGGTCACGACTCCTTCGTACAGGGGCGAGAAGCGATACCGGCCGGTCACGATGGTCGGCTCGGGTGAGAGCACGAGTCCACCACCGCCGGCCACGGTGATTGATTACATCGTGTCGGGTCCGGACGAGGTGCTCGACTCTAACGAGGTCGAGAGGGAGACGAGGCCGCCGAGGCTGTTTATCAAGCAGCAGCAAAACTCCCTCGAGAGGATCGTTGTCGGGCCTAGCACGAAGACAAAGGACCCGGGGATGGATCAGAAGGGCAAGAAGGTGCCATCGTACGAGTTTGACAGGAGGGGGAACGGCACGAGGACGGCGAGCGCGGAGAGACTTGGGAGGCCGTACAACGAGACGGAGGACTACAGCGCCAGCAGGGAGGATGTCGTGCCCAACAAGGACAGCGGCAAGAAGAACAAGCAGGTCAGACGTCTGTCTTTCTTTTGGAACGTTGAGGGACCATTTTCTTTTTCCTTTCTTTTTTTCTTTTTTTTTTTTTTTTTTCTTGGTTCCGGTGAGAAAAAAAGCCTGTATAGCTACGAGTTCGTGGAGTCATGTACATGATTCAAAGTTTTTATTTCGATGCCTCATCCTGCTGTTGTAACTCAATAGTAACCTTAACTTTCGGTAAAAAAAAGCCTCGCAATTTCCAAATATCACGTTTCATGCGTGCGCAGATTATCCAGATAATCATCCCGTACACGTCGCAGTACACGCCGAGTCCGTTCCACCCCACGAAATCGGTGGACAAGCACAGAAAAAAGGACAACCGAGGGCCACCCAAGCCTCGAGACCTGGACGAGACAACGAGCTCCTCCGAGTACCTCAACACGGTGGAAAGCGACGAGGACAACGCGGTGATCGAGGAGTCGCGGCGCGTGCCCGTGACGCGTAGCCCACCACCCCAGCCCAGCCAATCGTTGCGCAACGCGAGCGGCGACGTGCCACTGGCCGGAAAGATGGGCAACACCATAGACGTGCACAGGCTGCAAAAGAACATCGACAATTGGACCATCCAGGTATGGGTGATAGGATACGTGCAAGCCGCGTAGACAAGTGAAAGTTACGCGTGCTCGGAATGACCGATTCCCCTCGATTTTTATTGTGCTGTGTGGAGGAGGGAGCGCACACACGCGAGCAGTGAAAGTGGCCGGGGCTTTTGTTTTCTTTGCTCGACGACCAGCCGAGGAATTTCGTTCTCCCTCCTCTTCCTGACAAGTGCGTGTACGCACGTATCAAACATCTCATTAGCACGTTTACAGGGGTTTTTTTTGTCCCCACCGATTTCTCGCTCGGTTATTTCTGAAATTGATAAAATACACCGGCTTACCCGAGACATGGATGTACACTTTTTCCCGCAGGAATACTCAAAGTCGACCAAGTCGATCGCGAATTCCCTCAACTCGACAAACCCGCGCTGGCTGTCGTCCAAGCAGATTCCGGACGAGTACCTGCTGTCGACGGCGGGCCTCGAGGAGACCAGCGGCGAGTACTACGATTTCAGCAACGAAACGAAAGTCCGGCATCGGGGGACCGACAAATTGCAGGTTATTACTCCACATGTATATACCTACTTCCACGGAAATCATTACAATCTCTCTCCCTCTCTTTTTGACCGAACAATGAACATTATTTGCATGAATTTGAATTTCCGATCGTCACTCTCATTATACCGAGTACGTTTACCCGGAAACCCGTCAATTTCATATAGCAAAAAAAAAAAAAAAAAAAAAAACCACTGATTTCTTGGCAGTCCACCCAGAGTCCGGAGACCGTGACCAAAGTCGACATAATAAACGCGACTTACCCGCGCAAACCAGACCCGAGCCGCCGGCGTCAATCGCCAAGTTCGAGATCTCGATCGGCGTCGAAGGGTGACTCGGAGCGCGTGTACGTGGTCACGCCGATCCCGAGCCCAAACAGCCTCGAGGACTCGAGCAGCCACGAGAAGGGCAGTCGGAGGCCCCAGCAGATAAAGGAGCACCTCGAGACCGCCGCGTCCTCGTCCTCGCGCGAGGACACCTCCTCGTCGGCCCAGGTGTACGAGCGAGCCTACCAGGTGCTGCCCCAGGCGGTGAACAACCTGGCGGTGCTGTCCCACTCGCCCGAGTCCTCCGCCCCGGCTCTCTGGGGCATCATGGAGCACGAAGAGTTTGCCGCGAGTGCCGATCAGCCGAGGTGGCGCAGCGAAGCCGACGTCCTTCCCGAGCCCGCCTCCACGCCCGTACTCTACGCCGGACACTCCAAGGTACGTACACCAGCCTCACATATCATTTTCTCCATGGTACGCGACTCTTTTCCCCTCAACAGTTGATTTCTAACAAAACCTCGGGGTTGTGCCTTTTTAAAAGGGTATATTTCAAAGGAGGTAATGGAAAACGAGCTCTTACACGCGATAACAGCTCGCAAGCTGTAGCGATTGAGACGTAAAACGAATACATGAATTAGCTCGCCGATCGCAAAGTTCAACGCCTCCGGGTTGCATATTGAATCAGCGCGTCCTATTATCAAAGTGAAATCTATCCGTGGGGAGAAAACACGGGCACATTGTAATTTCCTGATTACAGAACCGATTAAATTAATAAAGCGGCTAACTCGCGCGCGACACGATAGGATCTAAGAGAAAACTCGTCACTGTCGCTCGCTGCGACCGTCAATTTTTACTTTCGCGTGCGCGACTATACGATACATGAGAGTTTAACGATATGTATGAGGGGAAGAACAAAAAAATCACTAGTTGCACGCTGTGTTTCAGGTGTCGCGAGCGAGATGATAAATCAGCCGCGGAGAGAGGAACACACGACCACACATCACTGACACCGCTGCTCTTGGTGATGCAGGCAAGTGCGTCCATCAGCGGTGCTTTGAGTGCGTGAAAGGAAGTCGGTGACCGGTACTGTTTGTGTATATCCAACTAGTGCTGCTGCTTGTCTCTGGATGGAATTGTTATCTTGTCTACAAAGTCCCAAGGACTCTCTGCGGATCATTAGAATTGTTTCTACGGAATAGCTTAATAAGCGTCACCCATCAGCTCGAAAATCGGTACTCGCGACGAGTTGTTTTTTTTTTTTTTTTTTTTTTTTTCGACCCTTTTTTCGCCGTCCCCGCGATCATCAAAAGTAAAAGTCGTTAATTAACGCTCCAGCGAGGCGATTAGCGCCGTTTATTGAAATTTCACGCGAGTCCTTTCTTTTTCGCGACATGAAAACTGTCCCCCAACGGTGGGAACCGATTTCTCGGGGTCAGTGACACCGGAGCGCGCCATTAGCGTCGAAAAGTTAAATCACCCCGGTCGGTGACGTGTCGGCTAAATACCGATAATTACCGATCGTTCCTCTTGTCCGGGGGAGAAAGATTCCCTGCATTACACGCGCGCGAAGCCTCGTTAAGTCGAAAATCGGTACCGAATGCCGCAAAGTGGCCGTCACGAATCGGCGCGGACACGGTACTTGGACGCGGAAAGTACACGTATGGTAATCACGCCGATCGAGGGACGGGCCGATTTCGCGCATCGTTTGCTTGCGAAAAAGCGTAGCGCAATTAGACGTCAACGTTTATGGTATGGACAGCGATCCCGTAAATGTGTCGCAAGGCGGAGCGACGATTTATCCGCGATAACGATTTCACGGGAAAAGTATAAATTCGTCTTCCTTTTTGCACGGCTGAAACTGTAAATGCCTTCACTGGGCGTTTGGATGCTTGAGCTTGTAATGAGGTTCTCGACCGATCGACAATATTTTATCGACGAGTCCACCGATTTTTCTTTCCGCGAAGACAGAAAAAGATAAGAGAGGCGCGTTATTAGCGGCCCCCCTCCTAATTGCGACTCTCGTTATAAGCATCATTTTTCTCTGCCTATCCCCCCTTGCCCCTTACATCTCCCATAGTCTCTCAAAAGCGTGGAAACGGAAAAACGAAGTGTGAAACTCGCACGGAGCAAATCGCCGAATGAAAAAGAGGACGGGAGAATCTTCCTTTACGTCTGTATGCGCGAGGCAGTAGCTGTATACATATATACATGTGCGAGAAATGAGAAAGCAGCGGCTGATCGGAGGTGAAAGAGACTTGGATGTTTGCGCGTGTGTTTGGTGTACACACACATATGGATGTTAGACAAATGTACGTGACCGAGTTACGAGGTGGGCTCACCTCGTCTTCCTCTTCTTCCCAAGAGTCGACGATTCATTTTCATACGGGAGGAGAGGAAGAGTGCCTTACCAGCGTCGTTTGACGAGCATGTAATGAGCTTCCTTCCTTCCTTCCTACCTTCTTTCCACTTTTTTTTTTTTTTTTTTTTTTTTCCCCAAGTGCAAAGTGCGAAATAAGCACATCTGCAGCAAACACACATGTGCGTCGTAGAGAGAGAGTTCGTTGTGTACATAATAATCATACTAAAATGTATTTTTCTCCACTCGCTGGCTGACAAACACTGATATGTAACATATATATGCGCGGTAAAAGTTTATTGATGTTTTTTTTTTCTTTTTGTTTTTCTTTTCTGTAAAGCTTCGGGTCAAATATTTTCTAATTTCAAACGATTGTTTTCTCGATGTAAGAAAATGCAACTTCGTTTCGATAGAGTATTCGATAGGAATCATACACAGCATAGAAAATAATTGTAGTCTTGCATCAGTGAAGGACACTCTTTGTTTTGCTTCTCAGCTAATTTACTCCAATTTTTGTTAAACAATGTAAAAACTAATCGAGCGAGCGGAACGCAACGCGCTCTATTTTCCGCTTTACCTGCACCGCTGATGGAGCAACATGTACGTATAGTCGTGCGTTAATCGACCGATACTTCAATTATTTACATGTGCACATTACAACTGGTTAACGTGTTGTAATCACGAGTAATTGCGATTTAGTTCTCAATTCAAGCGCGTAATAACAACATGTATGATTGTAAAATACGGGCTGTCAACGATTATCACATTATACAATATTATGCATGTGTATTGCGAATAAAAGCTGTTACGTGGGTGCTTCCATTATTTGTTGCAACACGTAGGGTTATTAGTTTTTTATTTATTTATTTTTCTTTTTTTACGACTAAGGCTTATAAATTTTAATTTAGTTTTTTTTACCCACATATTTTTCACGGTGACATGTACGTATAACGTGGAAACTCGTAATTGACAGCTTTATAACTACCAATGAATCTTCACGACGGGAGTATTGTACAATATCGAATCAACATATTTAATGATGTATATGTATATCTTGTATTCCTATGTATAGAGAAACAATTGTTTTTTTTTTTTTTTTTTTTTTTTCACCCAAATATAAATACACCGATTGATAAAATTCCAGCTCATTGATTTCCCTAGCACCCATACACGCATACTCCGAGGAGAAACTCCTCTCCGTAAATTAAAAATCACACGGCGGGAAAATAACTTTCTACTCGATAAAAAAAGGAAAAAAAAAATAACTGCATACTTTTCGCAAAAAGAGAGATGATGCGGGTCAGCTAGAGATACCGGAAGTTACGCAGGACGGAAAATCCAGAGGCGTCACCTACTTACCACACCCGCACGGATAATGATGATAAAAGGCGCGAGCCCATTCACACGAGGAGCTCCGAAAAAAAGAAAAAAAAAACATCCTTTCGCTCATGACTCGTCCGTACACCGTTTGTACGAAGAAGAAAATAATATTCATAATAAGCCTCGGCAGATGAGCGCGCGGGGCCTTCCTCGCGAGGATCGTGACGCCCATAAACAAAAGTCCCATTTCTCCTGATGGTGGATGGAGGACTCGGTGTATACACGCTGAGAGATGTGCTCGCTCATATATATACCCGAGTCGTGGGAAGGAGAGTCCGAAAAGGTTACGTGAGAAAATCGAGCAAGAGGGACGGAGCTACTACGCCCTATTGTGCGCTGTGTGTAGATGTGCGAGTGTCTTTTTTTTTTTTTTTTTTTTTACTCCATTTTTTTCTTTCCTTCGCGTGAAACTCTGGCGCGCGTGTAATTACACCCACGAGATTTTGCTCTTTTTTCTCGCCGAGATCGAACAAGGACGCGATCGCGACCTCGATCGGGCCCGCGAACGACACTGCAAGGAGTATAGTATACATAGGAAGACGTCCAGAGTGACAGGACAGGACACAGGTCCGTTCCCTATATTTGAACTATTGTATAGCTTTCCATCTAGAACTTTTTACGGTTCAGAACAGTTATTGTCTTCTTTAGTGCTTACAGTCGGATTTTGACTGTTTACTCGGTACAAATAACCGTTCACAACTTTTATAATCCTTTTTGTTTCACACCAATGTAGTGTTGATTTGTGAAAGTACGAACCAGCTCTGCTAAAGTCAATATTTTTTTCTTAACTGATTTACACAAAAGGATATTTGTGCCAAAGTTTAAATCCACACACAAATGTTTTTTAACTTGTTGCAAATTAATTTTCAGCTTTCGAAATCCAACATATTTTATCAACTACTCGTTGAAATTTGCTACTACAGTAATTTGTGAAGTAGTAAAAAGTAAAGTAACACCTCAAGTGCACAAAAATGGTATATTCATCGATCATTGCAGTCTCGTGTGTATACCCGGTGCAGTTTTTGCGTGTCCCGATGCACTGGTACGAGCTCCCTGTATCTACATGTATCTTTGTCTCTCCTAATCAGGTCACCAAACGTCACTGGGATCCAGCGGTTTTTCCATATATATATACTTTGTACCATCTCACTGCTCCGATACTCCAGTCTTGCCTTCGACTTTCTCCGACGCCTCGTCGTGATGATGCGTTTAATTGTATACGTTCGCCCAAGCTATCGCAGTCACGAAATTTATAAATATCACACAGAAAGTGTACACGGATTCTTTATTACACCCGAGCCCGGAGAGGCGAACAAAAAGGATATCTCTTTCCGGCGATTAAAGTAATGTCTCGAAACAAATCCACGCTCTTAATTCGTCACTCCCGATGCGTACGAAACCTACAACAATACGCCACGACAGATCAACACGCAGTGTCCCCCCATAAATATCATCCCTCAAAAGCATTTTTCATCACGTACCTCAGTACAACAATAATTGAAAACCTTATCCGTTTTAAATTGCACGGACCGGACGTATGTAGCCCATCACTGGCAACAGCCAGCTTGTATGTGAAATAGCAATCCATTTAACTCCCTTCTTTTCTTGAGTGACTGATTGCGAATGTACCCAGCCTCCCGCGCAAGATCGATTATACCTCCACGGGATGATGGTTGATCAGCAGTTCTTGCTTGTAACATCAGCAAACGATAGGCCATCAGCGAAGTGTGAGCCTATAAGGCTCGCATCGCCAAGTATACACTCGTCGTCTTGGCCGGTGTTTGGATCTATATCCTACGAGAGGATAAAGAGCACAGAGACTTGAGGAATTCATCTTTGCGAACGACCCGATCGTGTTGTGTGTAATCAAATTTATGAAGACCTTTTGGATCATAATGTCAATATACAAGTCACAAGATGAACGAAAATGACCCACCCCGAAAAACCTTGATGGTGTACACGCGTGTTTCGAGGAAAGCAAGAGGCCTGCAGAAAATTAAGCCCGAGCCTTAGCTCCTCGCAACAGCCGAAAAGTAGGTAATTTGGCTGATCGAAAGGCAAACAGCAGCACCGATCCCAGGGTATAGACGGAGGGCGGCAACACAATTTGCCGGGGTATAATGGAAAAACTTTCGTTCCACACGAAATTACAAGCGCGAGCTAACAGTGTAATGCACCGTGTACGAACGAGCCATCATCATCGCCAAGTTCATTGTTCCCCAACAAAAGAGAGGGAGAGATGTGCAGATCTCACAGTACGTTTTTCGCTTCGTCTACGTAAGTAAAGGGTCGCGAGGATTGGCCTCGTTCGAGCCGATGGTCGCATAGTTCGGCTGGGGTATAGACTTGAAAGGTACTACGTAAAGTGCTCCTGCAGTTGTGGTGTTGATTAGTTCATGGATCAATACGTCTTGCAAATACTAATGCTGTCATCCCTTCTGAAATTGAGCTGACGTGATCAATGGTCGGTTCGACGATCGATCTGTTGGCCAATACGTCTGACAGATAAATACGATTCCTTTGTGGTGGATGCACTTCATTTACAACTTCCCTTTGATACGATTTAAAATTTGTAAAGACTTTGTCTCTGGAACTTCAATAAATTCTACAAGTTTGCTTATCTCGTTTTAGAATATGATTTTTTCAATTACTACTTATTACATTGTGCACATCAAAATTGTTTTCTAGCATTAGAATACTGAAGAAAAAACAATGTGGGAAAAGAAAATGTTAAAATGTTTATAAAAGTATTTAAATATGTACTTTCAAGTACTTTACAATAAACCCTAACTTAACAAATGTAAGTGGCACTTATTTGTTACACAAAAACCTTTTTCTCAGTGTTATACTGTGAAGAGTGATTGTTAACAAATTTTTCAAGCAAAAAAAAAAATGCACTTCAATAAGGGAAAAAGTATTTAAAAATCGATAAAATAATTGTGACCAAGTCTGCTTGTGTTTCTGTCGAAAAGTTAATCATGTAACTAAAGTTGCAGATGCGATAATTGCCTATTGTAATCGTGATAACATACGACCATTATATCACATCGGACACTTGATAATCGAATTACACTTTACTGTAGTTGTGCCAGTCATTGGCAACACGTTGCATCCATTACCACTTACTGCAATAAGTGTGAGAAGATACTTTTGCATAATGTAATGAAGGATAATCAACTAATAAATGTAAATTTTTATAATCTCGTGCAATTATCAATTATACGATCTTGGATATTACCACTTGTTTACACACCGTTATCTACAATTGATACTAATGATAGAGTATAAAGTGTGGTATAAAAATTGGGCCTAATTTGCAATATGGTGATTGATATATACCAACAGTTCGACTTCTTGTGCTCGAAGTATGTATTTAAAACGGTAGATTTTCTCTTGTGTTTGCACAAAGCATTGAAACATGTATGTAGTTTAAGAAATTATTTTTAATAATTATCGAACGCAAATGATAAACTGTAGTTTGCTTAAGCTCTTGCAACATTTACTGCTACATACAATATTATATAATTTAGCTCTACGTGTGATTTCCACTTAGAAGCCACTGGATTTCGAGTGCATCCTTTAACGACATCCACCTCATTTGAGCGGACGGAATCCATTTAAATTAAATCAAAATGAAAAATACTTACTGAAACAATATTTAACTATTGTATACGTGATTATAATTTTGCAACGATTTCATTTATTACTATATATTGTGCTGAGTGCAAAAGGGAGAAAGATCACAACTGAATGTAGCCTGTAGCCTTCAGAAAGGTGATGGTACTGTTAATCCTTAAAAAGACAAATATTACTTGAATTTTGGCCAAGTTTTTGTTTTTTACGGGTTTTTTATGCTGCCAAAAGCTTATTAATTTAATTGATGATTTTATAGTTCATTAATTTTACTTTCATACGAAGTGGTTAAGATTTATTAAAAATGTATATTGGATTTTGCATCGTTACACAGATTCTTTGTTAAAAAGCACAATCTTTAAGTAACAATATTTATTTGCAATAAAGATAATGACGATTTGAAACATTTTTATTGTTGAAAACGTAAGCGTTCTAATAATATTTTCTAAAAATGTTCTTATACTGATGAGGGAATTTCCAGTTACGATAAAGCACCTTTGTATCAAATTACACTTTTTCATGAGGATATTTAAAAGATATGTATAGTATCTTTGAGTGATTGAACAAAAATTGGAAACTTTTCTAAAATATCAGTAACATAATTCATCGCACTTTGAATATTAAACTGATAACGTTCGAAAACTTGTCTGGTTGAGCACAAAAGACTGGATCGAAAAATGAATTTGTTCACTGGAATAATTAAGATTTTCGCCAACTGTTACCGACTCATCTGTTCATACTAGACTCAGTAGGTGATGAAAGAATGTAACTTTTAGACGGTCCATAATATTCAATTGTGACAAAACGTTATCGTGACTGGAGTATTCAAAGAGAAAAATTTATGGTATCAATTACCGATTTTTTCTCGAATAAAATAGCGTCACAAAATTGCTCTCCATAAATTTAAAGGTGCGTATAAAATGTAATCGCATGAACGATCTAGAATAATTAGCAAACGACCATGTGAATGAGTCAGAGCAAAGAGTTACCATGTCGTCGACCAGCACTGGTTAGATCTGCATTGGGTTTGTTGTGAAGATAATATCGGCCGGTCGGCAATTTCGTCCAAATTGGTATTACAACTGTACGTATACGATGTGCATGAATGAACGCTTGAATCACGTGAGCTCATGTAAAAGTGTCAAGTATAAACAATCGTTTGGGTAGTTGAGAAAAAAAGGGAAAATTATGAAAAGCGTCCTTGAAAAGATAACGGTTTTCACATTTCGACAAATTCGTCATTTTTGCCGATAAATTTCAAGATGTGGTGACTTTTTGAATTATGGGCAACATTACTGGAGAGAATCTATTTATCAGGAACGACTAGGTGTATCACTACCCCAATCACATTTCATAGGCATTTATATATTGAAATCATTTACTTGACTTAGAATGAACACTTAAATACATTAACCAAATGATCAACCTGTCATCGAGATCAAGATTCACCATACTTTTCAAAAATTGTGTCACTGTTTCATTAATGAATCGGTATACGGGTAAGAAATGTTACCTAATCAACGAGAAAAGTTTATTTTTACTCTGTAAAACAAAAGCCACTTTTGAAATTGTTTCATCAAATCATGCAAATAGGTATAACTTATCTTAGATTTGTCATTATAATGGAAATCATTGAGAAACGTAAATAAAAAACGGTACGATATCTCGTCAAGCCAAGCGAGTGAGGGAGCAAACATCACAGTTTTCTACGTAGTGATAAAAAAAAAAAACTACAATCTCATCTGCAAACGATGACAACGAAAACCAAACAAGACAGTCGATACTCGCGTGGGTGCAATTGAATGAGTCGAAAAAAAAAAAAAAAAAAAAAGGCTAGCAGCACAACCCCAATAAGGAACAAAACGCGTTGTCAACAAAATTACTTGGCAATTAAGCTCACCAGGAACAATGGAAGCAAGCCGGGCTTTAGAAAAAAAAATCGGCGCACATGCACGGCTCTCTTGTTATCAGACGCGATGTGGCATTTGCACAAGAAGAGACGGGGCGACGAAAACTAGAGGGAGAGCGCGAACGCGAGGGCGAATGAAAAATCGAAGCCGGCAGTCCCGAGACAGGCGTCGCACCGGCAAAGGAAATCGGCGCTCTGTTTGCACCGCTCGCGTCTCCGATTCTCTCTCGGTCCCTTGGCGGCGCCCATCCTCACTTTATCACGATGATTTACAAATGCTCGCGCGGTGGTGAACTATATATCGGCTAGTCGGAGCCCTGGAGCGCCGGAGGTGCGAGGCTCCCTCGCACCGACATCATTTTCTTCTCCTTCTCGCCAGCCGAGGGTGCGACACCAGTCAATAACTCGTTGCCGATCGCTGCCGATTTTCCCACACTTTTCAATGAGCCGTCAAACGTAAGGACATTGTGATATCAATCGAAGGAAATAAAAAAAAAAAAATAAAATAAAAGGACTATCGCATTTTTGTCCAGAACAACTTGGTAGTACTAAGTTTATCCGATGGTGGGTGTACACAGAGTGCGTATGAACACAGCATTGTGAAAATAATACCTCATCTGCCGCTACATACAGATGCGACACGGCAACTTCCACACACATACGCACTCGATATACATAAACGAGCATATAGTTTGTAGGAGCGCGTGCACGATATTTCCATCTGCGACGACTGTGTTTTCATTCTGTGGACTGTTTAAGTACTGTGCTGGGGTGTACGAACGAGCGGAGCGACGAGCATGAGGATAGTGACGACGAGTGGCAGAGAACCAATGTGACGCTGACTTGGCCGAAGAGAGAGAGGGGACTGGGGACCACTAGCCACTGGGTTCAATTGTCACCGGAAAGATCGGTAATTGCCTTCCTACTTATTATCATGATTGGTGAGATGATGTATGTATATACATATATATTCCGCGGAACGTTTTGCGACGTGTGCGATAATATACGGTTATGACAATAATGATGTGATCACAGCGATGATAATGATGGGGATGTGCCGTTATTTTTGTATCAATGCAATTGCACCTAAATCATTTACAGTGGGTCGGATGTCATCGTTTCGAGTCGTTGGGAGTTATTTTTGTCAACCATCACGTGTTTGCGGTTATTATCAAAGTATTGGTCATGATTGTTGCTATCGGTTTTGAAATTGCAGGAAACTCATCAAATTGGTCTTTGATGCGGCGTGTACGATGGTGCTGAAGAAAAGTCTGAAGAATGGATTCAAGATCGAGGACAAACAGGGCGAAGAAAAGACCAAACACGATTCCATCGCATTACCCGCGAAAAACAAGGAGGATGACGTTCGTTTGGCGGAGGAGGGCGAGGATGAGGCGCCGGACGGCGGATGGGGTTGGATGGTGACTTTCGGGATGGTCATAGTCTTCGTAAGTCCTCATTCGTTCGTGCAGATGAGCTGTTTAACCAAAGAGTTACGTGATTTGTTAAGGTAACGACGATAGGGCCGAGTAACTCGTTCACCATAGTCTTTGGTGACTTTTTGGATGCGACACATCAGGCTGGTTCCGTCACAACGATGCTCAATTCGCTCTTCAACATAAGTTATTCACTGGCTGGTGAGTTCGAAATCACACTTGCATTGCGAATTGCTTTTTATTCGAATTTCATTGATCAATTTTACCAAATTATAAGTATATTTACACCTAGATTTCATTGACGAAATTTTACGTTGATCTCGTGGGTAAATATTTTCAGTTTACGCGTAAAGATAACGAAATTTGAATAAAAGTTCTTGGATCCATGATTCAAAAGTTAAGTGATGTAACTAAGCTTCGCCACTGTAGTCTTGGTTATTAATTTAGAGCTTATGTCAATACGATTATTCAACGTCAAGATAAACACTTGTCCGTGGTCCCAAAAGTTTTAATCTCTAATTTGATGAACTTGGAGTGTTTGTTCACCTTCAAACGAAACAAGAAAACCAGTGATTCCTTGATGTGTTCTCCCCTGCATGATTTAAAAAAGTCGTATTCGAAACATCTTTCACCTCATCCGTTAAAGATCTAAAACAATCAAACCGAATCAGTGTGTAATTCATTGATTTTAAAAAGTGCGAGATACCATCGTAAACTGGCACCCACGTTTGTCTTATCTGTTTATCAATTCATCAATTCCGGCGACTCTAATGCAAATACACACATTTCCATTTTAGCTCCGGATCCTTATCTGGTGCATAAAATGGTATCGCGAGCGATTGTCACTTTTAATACTGACAAGACGACTGTCGCCGTTTGAAAAGAGCTTAAAGTCTTAACAACACATAATACATGATAAATGTCGAAAGTTATAATTAGGTAGACGGAGGATCGACTTTGTACTTGCAAAACGATCAACGGCTACCATAAAAGAGTAGATAATCGAGTTAAACAATTGAATGACTTTGAGAATCGTTAGCAGATACGAAAATAAATCGGTACTATGGTAGCCTTTTTTTTTGACACGAGCATCGTTTGTGTTACCCGATAGGTCTGGTGACGAGTCCTCTACTGAAGCAATTCTCCATGAAGTCGGTCGGTGTCGTGGGCGCCATAATTTTCTGCATACCCAATGTCATGCTGGCATTTGTGCACCAAGTCATTGAAATGGCTGTGAGCAGCTTCCTACAGGGGCTGGGACTTGGACTGCTATTTACGATATGCAATATTAACTTCAATGCCTACTTCGTTAAGAAGAGGTCGATGGTACTATGCGAACAGTAAATATACATACCGCTAGTAGTCCCCACACAAAGCTCATTCGTTTCATTGCTTTTTATTTTAAGCACACGTTTTTTTTTTCCCCTTGAAAAATAAAGAGACAGACGATTTTTCTGAATGTTCCAACAGATCATGGGCATTGCTCAAGTTATCGTCGGTCTGGGAAACATCGTCTATCCAATCGCTATCGAGATGATGATGGAAGAATACGGATTCAGAGGTGATTCCTTTTTTCTTCTTTTACTCTATATACACTAGACACGTACTTTTCAGTTTTCATAGCTATTTGTACGCTTCTAGAATCTTATTTGTCAAGTAGAACGCGACGAGATAATTAACTTTTTTGGCCTTACGGTATTTGTCTCGACCAAAGTTGTAAACCACGCGTGCTTTGCTCGAGATAACATTTTTACCAGCCACTTTTTTTCCAAAACGCCACTCATCCAATTGGACAGTTGGAGGAATTTGTTATTTTTTTTCTTAAAAAAAGGCCAGATGTTTGTTAAAAACACGCCAATTGCCATGCATTGACAGGTACTGCGCTGATTATCGGGGCGCTGGGTCTCAACTGCATCCCCGCGATGGCGTTGATGCGGCCACCCGACATCTGGAAGAAAAACTTCAAGAGTAAAAAACAACACAAGGAGGGCGACAACCAGGTGGACGAGAGCAAGAAGCCCCTGATGAGCACGGACCCCGTGCCTTTGGCTCCTCGGGAAGTCGAGCTGCTCAAAAAGGCCAGCAAGTGGAACAGCGTCAGGAGCTTGCAGGAGGACGCATCCAAGCAACCTGATCTGGTAATAATGCAAACCCCCGTACAACTAGTCTCCCTAACAAAAAAAAAGAACTCAGAAGCTCAAACAACACCTTGTGCATGAAATTGTCGAAAGACACCTGAAGTGAGGGTTGCTTCGGTCTCGGATGTGGAAGGCGGGGTATGCCGGGAGCGCAGCAAGTCCTTGATGGTGAGCGGTCTGCGGTACGACAGACCCAAGGTCCGCAAGGGCCTCCTAGCGGGCTTTACCTCGTCCAGCTTGACGAATCTGAGGGTACAGCCGGGACCCGAGACCCTCACCAACGTGGTGATGCAGATGCAAGGAACCGAGACGGCCATCGCCGAAGACGATCGGGACAACGATGGCGTCGAGATGGACGTCATCAACGAAAAGACGTCGAATTTTTTCGGCGCCAGGTAACGGCAATGATTCGCCAATGCACCCATACATTCATCAGCTGATCCCTCTTTCGGGGCTTTGGAATTGCGCAGGAGCCGTCGTATTCTGGACAGCCTGATCGACTTCTCGTTACTTAAGAATCCGTCCTTCCTGAACATGTGCCTGGGCCTTTCCTTCGTTTTCACCAGTGACTTGACCTTCAGCACCTTCTTGCCGCTGATGATGGCCAGCCGCGACTTTACCAAGGCCGACGCGGCACTGGCCATTACTGCTTCGGCAACTGCCGAGCTGGTGTCTCGCATTGCTTACGCGACTTTTGCCATTTTCTACGACGTCAGGCCAAAGGTCATCTTCTTCGTCGCCATGTGCCTGATGTCATTGGTCCGTATAGGTATGACGATTACTTATTCACACGACTAGGGTAAAGTCGCATTTTTCCACCGATACGATCATCATTCGCGATAAAAATACCACAGACAGCGCGATAAACTTCATCGCTCGTCCGATTTGCTCGTTGTTGACTGTGTAGATGTAAAAATAGATCAACCAACCGCTCATCCTTCTTCTTCTCCTCCCCTTCGTGCAACAAACTCTCATATCTCAATCGTTGCGGTTGTCGTACACATGCGCACACCTACAGACGCGCGCGTTCAATCACATCACGCGTGCTAGCTTCGCGAAAGCTTCGACCTGTTATTATATAATAATATGACTAATGTGTGCAGATAATATTTAATATATGTGTCGCGAGCACAGGCTATCTGTATCTAGAGGACACGCTGTCGGGGACGATAATCATGGTGGCAGCGATCGGCGCTGTGCGCTCCTGGCTCTTTGTATCCCAGTCGCTTGTCATCGTTGAAGACATCCGTGTCGATCAGTTTGCCGCCGCTTACGGGGTCTACGCTATCGTCAGTGGCGTTATATCCATTACGATTGGACCCTTGACAGGTAACTACTGGCTTTGTTTTTACTCTTTGTATCATTTTTTTTGTTTTTTTTTTTTATTATTA